TGGAAACATGGCTGTTAGGGGATGCAATAGTATATTCCTTCTAAACGTGTTGGAGGAAGTATATTAGAGCAGGTCAAGATGAAAGTTTTGTGTAGCTCAGTCTCCCAGTCAACAGGGCTGGGGAGAACATAGACGGACTGTGTCACTGAGAATACTAAGGGATCTGCGTCTGCCATTCTGAGATTCTACTTTTCAGGGCTGGCCTCTCTGCGGAGGCTGAGAACCAGACATTTGCTCCAGCACTCCCAGCTGACTGCTGCAGGATGAGAGATAGCAAAAGGCTGCACATCTGGAGGTTTGGGGGGAGTGACAGGGCACACCCCACACTGCAAAAGCAGTCACTTCTTCCTGGAAGACTCCATGCATAGGAAAATGCTCTTTATGCATTAACATAGCAGGCTAGATTGAGATCACCTCCAGGTTGGCTATATATTTCTTCCTCTCCTGGACATGAGACTCTCAGGCCCACAAAACAGCCTTAATGGGGCCTGCATTTCTTTCCTCTCCTGGACATGAGATCCTCAGGCCCACAAAACAGCCTTAATGGGGCTGCTCGTTGGCAAAGAGAGGTACTTTGCTCAGCAATGCTATCAGCAAGCTGACCTGCAACAACTAGAGTCTAGCCCAGCCCAAAATCTGTCTCCATCTCCCCCTTCCATAGTGGACTTTGTTTGCAAAATCCAGCTCTCCCTTTTTACAAAGTTCCTTTAACCATCACACTAAAAGGTATTTTGCTATCTGATTTGTTCCAGAGTTCACAACTGACCTTCTTTGAAGGGAGATCAGTGTATTAATGCATCATGTGACTTATATCGTATTTTTTCTTTTGGGTGTGTGGAAACACCCTTAGGATTGATAAGAGAAAACACCTGTAAAAATGGTGTTCAAAAGCAACTTCAAAAGGAACTAGCATATTAAGCCAAAAACAAGAGAAAAATAATAAAAAGACAAAAAAATTAAGAGAAAAACTCGAAAAGTAACTAGAAAGCATTATTCATGACATCCCAGATAAAGTTCTGAAAAAGGAACTAGAGAGCATTACCCCATGACATCACTGTTAAAGAAGTAACACTGTTCCTCCCAATAACACTGTGCACAAAATGCACTAACGTGACGCCCTCATTGCCAAAACAGTAGCGACTGACCGGACGTGCAATGGTGTTACTCCCAAACCGTGAGCAGGTTCAGATCCCCAGAGGCCCCTTTAAATGACAGCATGGCTTAGAAGTGAGAACCGCAGAAGGCGGGCCTCTCTGATAAAAGTACCACGCAGCTCCCTCGCAAACCGAGCCTCTTCGACCTTTTCACGCTTCCCCACCCATCTCTCCTGTCCGATGTGGCTTGCTTGGCTTCTAATTTTGTAGACTTGAGTCCCACGTGAGCAAGGGGGGCAGCCAGGTAAACCACATCCGTGTGGCTTCCTGCGGTGCAACATTCCTTGAGGGTTCTCCCTCTCCTGTATAAAGAAAGAGGCTGATCTTCATGGGTGCACATTTCTAATATACTCAAGATTGCATTTCGAGTCATTTGCATCAGCATCTCTCTCTCTCTCTCTCTCTCTCTCATTTGTCCTTAAAACAGCCTTGTAATTTATGTCCCAGAAGTGGTTCGCAGAGGCCTCAACGAGCGCTTCGTTCTATACCATTTGCTCCCGAGGTTTCATAAATCTGCCCGTCCCGTTATATTTGGCCGAGAAGTTCTTACCCTGTTATATAACGGCAGGAACGAGATCTTTTGGCATCGGCCTGTTTCTTTTGGTGGGTAGCCATTCTTCGGGCACAACGTGTGATTTTGGAAAGACCGCTAGCGAGACAAGATTCCCTCTGCAACGGGCTACCTTCAAAGCGATACTAAGGAACATAAGAGGATGAGCCCGGTCCTTACTCACAAAACAGCCACCTTTCCTTTTCGTCTACCACCCTAAACCAACTTTCCCCCTTCCTGTCGCCTCCGCCTCTTCTCGACCTCACACGGGCATCAAAAACAGTACTGCTTTGCGGGAGCAGTCGCGGAAGGAAAGCCTATATAGATTCCTGCCTGAACACATATAAACTGTTCAAATTGCAAGGTACACTAAAATAATCGCTGGTTTCCCAGGATGGCTGAAACCTTGGGTACCGGATCCTCTGCTATAAGCAAGCCCTGGCTAACCTGAATGTCAGTAATCAGGTACAGTTGCAATAATTTGTGTGACATATCATTTTCTGCCCTAGCCTGGCAGCCGCTTTCTCCTGGAATTACAGAGGATACTTCCTTTTAAGCTTAACTCCTGATTCGTCCTTTTGAAGCCGTGAAATTGGTCTGTGCCAAAGTTTAACTGTGATTAACTGTATGCTTGTCCTAAACCAGCGCGTGGAATCGCTGCCAAAGGCGTTGCAAAAATTCAGCGAGCCTCACAAAGGGCCCTATTCACAGTCCTTGGAAAGATGTTCCTTATTCATTACGAACTTCCTTCTTGACGTTCCACGAAGTCCCTAGTTTCTCTGGTAGGCCTGCACGACCTCCCTTCTCCTTCCCCCCCCACCACCACGACATTCATATCATAAATACGCTTAACATCTCAGAGTCTCCACACTTTTGATTGCAGGAAAACTGTGACAAATATTTAAAATATCTTTGCAATGTTCCTTATTCATTACGAACTTCCTTCTTGACGTTCCACGGAAGTCCCTAGTTTCTCTGGTAGGCCTGCACGCCCTTCCCTTCTCCTTTTTCTCCCCCACGACATTCATATCATAAATACGCTTAACATCTCAGAGTCTCCACACTTTTGATTGCAGGAAAACTGTGACAAATATTTAAAATATCTTTGCAGGCTCCGGAGTGATGCGAAGTAATAGGAGCGTGTTTCAGCGGATGTCCGTCAAGAGCCACAGAGAGGGCAAAAGGAGGCTCAAAGCACACTTAACTGTGGTTTGCTTACCTTAACCCTAGCGGAGTTTTACATCCGAGGGCCAAATGATACATTACAAAGAGCCTTTCATTCAAAAAAGGGATTTCCTTACATGCCAAAAGCATCTGATTGTCCCAACAGAGGGCTTTCATACCGCCTGCAGTTTGCATATTAGCTTATTTTGTTTTGTGATTGATCTTTTGGATGGGAATACCAGCTCTGTTTCCAAATCTGCTTTTTCAGACATGAAGGTCAGTTAGAGTGAGGGGTTATCTTTAGTGTTAAGCTTGCCCTCAAAAAGCTCAACCAGGAGACACCCTGAAGGATGGACTACGACCCAGGAGGTCTGGGTTTGAATCCTTGCTTAGCCATGGAAACCCAGTGGGATGGGTAAAAAAGGATTTCCTTACATGCCAAAAACATCTGATTGTCCCAACAGAGGGCATATTAGCATATTAGCATATTAGCTTACTTTGTTTTGTGATTGATCTTTTGGATGGGAATACCAGCTCTGTTTCCAAATCTGCTTTTTCAGGTCTGCAGAAAAAACGTCTCTGGAACACCAACAGTTAGAGTGAGGGGTTATCTTTAGTGTTAAGCTTGCCCTCAAAAAGCTCAACCAGGAGACACCCTGAAGGATGGACTACGACCCAGGAGGTCTGGGTCTGAATCCTTGCTTAGCCATGGAAACCCACTGGGATGGGGAACCAGTAAAACCACTCTTTAAATACCTTGAAAGCCCTATCTGTACGTCACTGTAAGCTAGTTCTGATTTGAAGGCACATAACAACAGTGAAAACCTGGGATGGTGATCCTATGGTATATGGACTGAATCTAGTCCACGAGGCTAGCCCATCAAGCCTGCTGGATGTTAAGACTTGGCCCAGAAAGGAGAGGGCTCAAAGCTCAACCCCTATGAAGAAAGACCAAAGAACCAGGCATGATCTGTACGTCACTGTAAGCTAGTTCTGATTTGAAGGCACATAACAACAGTGAAAACCTGGGATGGTGATCCTATGGTATATGGACTGAATCTAGTCCACGAGGCTAGCCCATCAAGCCTGCTGGATGTTAAGACTTGGCCCAGAAAGGAGAGGGCTCAAAGCTCAACCCCTATGAAGAAAGACCAAAGAACCAGGCATGTTTAGCCTTGAGAAAAGAAAAGAAAGAGAGTTAGGCTGAATTTCAGGAAAAACTTCTTAACTATTAAAGCAGTATGAGAGCGGAAACCAATCATTTCAGGAGGTGGTGAGAGCTCTGACACTAGATGCATTCAAGAGAAAACTGGACCACCCTCTGTCAGATCTGCTTTGATTTGGATTCCTGCCTCGAGCAGGGGGTTGGACTGGATGGCCTTACAGGTCCCTTTCAATTCAACAACTCTATGATTCGATTCCATGCCCAGCATGCAGCTTTGGGGTGGGTGATCAGGCGTTTTTCTCCTCCCTCGCCTGCCCTGTGAGGGAGAGGCAGGCAGAGGAATAAAGCAAGCTCTCACATGGGAAACTGCCTCGAAAAAGTGTGTGTATGGAGCATCATCACATATCTCTGACTGAGGAGGTTCATGGGGAAAAATACTGACTCAACAGCAGGACTACTATGATTAGATACTGCCCCCTGGAATGGCCACTGTAGGATTCTGGCAGTTTTAGTGTCAAAAAAAAAGAGAGTAACTTTCCCAGGAGTTTGGTATTTAGGAGAACCCTTTGTTACCCCGTCAACAAGGAAAACAATGTTATTTTCATTCCTGTCCAATGGCTAGAATACCAAACTTTTGCTCTGGACGCTGGCCCCCATTTTCCATGTCAGATTTCAGAGCCATAAAACCCTCTATAAACCTATTCATCAGTTTCAGAGCAATAAATAGTAAGGCCAGGCTGAACTGGAGCCAGAAAATACATCCTAACCACAGATGCCATTAATTTACTGACCCTGCCATAAAAAAGGAAAGAAAGAAAGAAAGAAAGAAAGAAAGAAATTAATTAGAAAGAAGAGAAGAGAAGAGAAGAGAAGAGAAGAGAAGAGAAGAGAAGAGAAGAGAAGAGAAGAGAAGAGAAGAGAAGAGAGAGAGAGAGAGAGAGAGAGAAGGAAAAAGCTGTGTACTCACTTCAGAGGGATCCGTGACACTGTGTTCAAGTTGGTGGAAGTTGTCACAACCTGGAGGATTTGCTCCAGAGCCGTAAACCCCCCTGCAACGTGAAAGCCAACTTGATCTGCTGTGTTCTGGATAAAACAAAACAGGAATACATTTTAAGTTAAATCAGTCAAAAACATGCAAGCTTCTCACTACAACATTTGCATGCCCCTGATTTGTGTTTCTTAAGGGGTGTTCCTCTTGCCTATCCTGGAGTAGAGGGAGTCCTGGGTAAAGCAGGAACGAAATGTTCTTTCAAGAGCCTGATCCCAAGGGATCCGCTTCACTTTCAAAAACATTAAGGTTGATGTAAAACAGGGAGGTGAATCATACAGCCGCATGAAGGCATTTTCTGTGGATCCCAGTGGCCCCTTCCCCCAAAACAGAGACGTAAATACCCTCATTCACATCTTGTTATAGCAAAAACAAACAAAAAAGCCACAAGTCAATGGACTGCATGGACCAACCACCCCACTTTTCCCTTCCAAAACGGGTAGTGTTTTCCCATAATGGACATGGTCTCCCATTGGTTTCCATTTTTACTTGGGAGGGGCTGGTGAGCCCTCCCAGAGGTCCGTGGCCCCTCTTTCCCACCGTGGCTCATCCCTGATGTTGAATGTTGTGGGTGAACTGTTCAAAGCAAGCACCGAGATCAAATTATAAGGCTTTGTAATTACAAATATTACAAAATTACAAGACCCAAAGCATTATATTAGATGGGACCAGTGGGGGTTTTGTTGACTTTCAAGCACCCAATCTTGCACGTGCCCAAAGGCCTTTACATTTTCAAGAATTATGTGCCCTGAGGAATTTAAGAAAAGCCAGCTCAAGCCAAAGGCCTCTGGAGGAGTGTAAAACTAACCACCCAGTTCTTTGGGATCTAGCCAAACGAGTAGGCAAAGAGAAGGGGAGAGAAGAGAAACACCTCGAAACATTTCTATTCTATTTTGGAGAAACCTTGGCAACTCCTAGTGGGAGCCAACTTTGCCCCAATTAACTCTGGGAGGAGCAACCAGGCCATGAAAGGCAAAAGGAGCATATGACTATACCTCTGCACCGCTTCTTTTAACAAGCCTGTTGCTTGTTCTGCCAGATCTGCAGGAAGAGCATGCAGCCCTCAGGTCACAATGGGCTAATCTGGCTGGCTTGCAAATGGCTGCCTAACTCGTTCCACACAGAGTTGGGGAGCACATGGATCTTGGGTTTCTTCATTCAGCCCTATGCCACACAGAGGAGAAGCCACAGCTCACTGGTAGATCCCATGTGTTGAAAACACAAGGCACATAGATCCAAGCTGTAGCATCTGCAGCTGGAAAGATTGCACAAGAACAGGTGTTCCGTGGATGAGCTTTCTGCATCATAGCTTGTCAACACAGGATCAGGTGGTTCCAGAAACATGGCGCTCAAGACAAGCAACAGGGAAGCTGCTTAGGAGGAAACGCTATCTCTGGATCCAGATTCTCAAACTTAATTGCTGCAACAGGTGAGCTGACCACAAGCTGGCTAAGGAAGAGAAGAATCTGGACAGGCAACCACGGAAACAACGCCAGCCAAGCGGCAAGACAGACCGAGCTGACCCAGGTTCCAGATCCATCAAACAGAGGGACTGACTATGACAGCATTAAAATCAAGGTTTCTTCTGCAAGAAGAGAGCTTGGGCAAAGGCAGATTCAGGTTGTCAGGCTAATAACTTAGTCTGAATTTGCTGCTGATCAAGGAGCCATCATAGTTCTCGGCATGGAGTGTAGGACCTAGTCTCCAGATAAGCAAGTTATTATTCACAGTGGCTGTCCTGCTGTTTGAACCAGGGGTTGGGGCTCCCAGCATCTAACAGATGGGTGGACAGTAGAACCCTCTCTTCCTTGGTAACCATGCGGTAAACCCTGGGCAGTGTGTGGTGTGCAGGCATCTGCATTTCGCCTTGTGCCCCAACAAAGGAGAAAGGAAAGGAGAAATAATGGTTTTCTGGAATAGTATCATTTGCTTTAATCAGGATAAGGAGAGGCTTCTCCCTGGCTCACCAAACCCATCACCCAAACCTTACCAACAAAGCAAAGGGTTCTGCTTATATGCCACACATAGCACTTAAAACACTCTCTGGGTGGTTTACAATTTAATTATGCAGGCTATAGATTGTCATCACCCCCAGCAAGGTGGGTACTCAATTTACCAATCTAGGAAGGATGGAAGGTCGAATCAACCTTGAGCTAGTTAGCTGGGATCAAACATGGCTGTTTATTCAGGCCTTCCCTCCAGCCAACTCTTGATTTTTTCTTACTTTTCCTTTTTATTTTTACTGCTGTTCTTGTTTGATTATTATGTACTGTATTTGTCTATGTTTTATTATTTAATTTTATATTTGGAAGCCGCCTAGAGTGGACCGGTGGGCCAGATAGGTGGGGTATAAATTAAATAAATTAAATAAATAAACAAACAAACAAACAAACAAACAAACAAACAAACAAACAAACAAACAAACAAACCATGAGCAGAATTTTGGCTGCAGGACTACAGTTTAACCACTGCACCACGAGGCTCAAACGAAAAACAGAAATGAGCATTCCAGGCATGTGTGGTTTCTATTCTCTCTCTCTCGCCCCCCCAGCCATTTTCAGATGTCATGTAGTCCTTAGGGGGAGGTGGGGAACAAAAATGTGGCCTGGAGACCTGCCAAAATGGTCCACCCTGTGCAAGAAGGATCAATAGATCTAAATCTGATGGTTAATCCAATGAGAAAAGATCCATTGAATCAATGGGATTTACCAAGTTAAAACATCTGATCCATCAAATCACTGAATTACAGAATTGTTGATCTAACACATCCAGGGGATTCAGTGCATCTGTTCCAGTTGGGACTCATAACTGGATTTAACCTCATGCTTACTAGGCAGCTTTTACTTAAACAATGTTTACCGTAATTTGCACAGCTAACTTAGTTTTCTTCCTTGCAAGGGTAGTACTGAAACATGGCACAAGTTTTTACAGAGATCACATTTTAAAAATAGTGCAAGGAAAGAATCCCACCTCCGGAAAACTGCTACTAGTCAGAGTTGACTTTATTGGGATGGAACGACCAAGGGTTGGATTCAATAAAAGCCATGTCCTATATTGCTATTTTAAACTTGAGCGATTTTGCAAATAAGCTGTTTGCAAATGCAGCAGAACGAACCATGAAATTCAGTTGTATAAATATTTTGGCCATAGAGATTGGCCTCTAAGAGGCATCTTTTTTCTTTTATTTTTATAAGCTTCGTATGAGTTACAGATACAAAATAAAGCAGGAACTTTATTTCCTTGCCTGATACGACACCTTACTGGCTTCACAGCCCTCTTATTTTCTCCTGCTATGTCTACTGTGACAACTAATAGGATTACAGGCTCCCTTCCCATAATACAGCTCAGCTACATGCCAGCAAGAAAAAAAAATATTAAAAAATGACAGCCTAAACGTGAATTACACAGCCTGGGAATCCATCCAATTATTAACTAAAGTAACTGTTATTACCTAACCTAATCAAAGGAGAAGTAGCTGTTAATCTTGGTGGCCTGCAGTGCCGTGGCAGTCAGACTGGATGAACTGTCTTTGTATCCGACTCTTCCGCAGACAATAATTATGTCCCTTTGTGATCAAGACAGGAAAAGGAGCTTCTCGGCGTTGGAAGCAGAGGCAACAGATGGGGGAGCCAGGGTCAGCCGGGCTCATTAAGGAGACGGAGGCGGTCCTCTCGGGAGTTGGAATCTGCGGCACCTCTATAATAGTGCGGCTTCCCAGAGGACAAGAACAGGACTGGGGGAGCTGTTAGGGCACGGCCCTCCGAGGCCAAAACGCAAAGGATGCGTCTCGAGGCTGCTTTCATGTCTGTCTCTGATTTGGGGGGTTTTGGCATTCGCTGACACCCTTGTTTGGAAAGGGAAAATCCTGTACGTGTGGCGAGTGGGCCGTGGTATTGAATGTCCCATTAAGAAAATTAGCACATAAAATGGACCCAAATAGCTTTTATTAATCACATGGGGCTCATTAAGAGCTTGCAAGAAAGGGTGGACTTTCAATAGCACCACTGCTGGGAAAAACGGGGGGGGGGGGGG